GGGGTTCCTCCCCCCGCGCAATTTGCTCCCCGACTTTTTCGCGGGGACCCCCCGTTCAATTTACTCCCCGCGGGACCCCTCCCGTGCAAAAAATTGCTCCCCGACGAACACTAGTATTAAACTTTGAGTTTTGATTGACGATTTCTTCAAATGCTTCATAAACAGTTTGTGTGGCAAATTGATTCGTTTCTGTTGAGTAGAATCGCTTGAAAGAAGGATAGAATTTATTTCTATGGCAATAAAATTCTTTTTCCATGACCTTATACTGTTAGGAATAGTCGGACTTTAACAATTGGACGATAAGATGCCCTCGCCACTGATCAAAAAAAAACCGAAGTGTTGTGGCTACTCAAGCCGCAACAAAATGACACACGTAGGTACGTCATGATGAAGTTTGAATAGTAACAGCATGTAACAATTATAATGGCACGTCCTTAAGCACTATGGTAACACTGACACCTCGCTTCATACAATACTATTACGCATCGATTTATTATTAAATTCACATTCTAATCACCAAAATGATTTTTCGTCTCTCAGTATTCACAATACATTTTCATACGTGCGACGAAATTTTGTGTATTGTATCAATACTGACAATACCTTTTGAATGTGCTCATCACTATGTATTCATAGAATATTGTCGTCACCGCGCTTTGTCACATCGTTTACAGATTCATTAAATAAAAGAACTATTCACGTGATACATTTCCTCATTCTCACGTGTGCGAAACTACGACTCATATAACGTATGTATCTGCCTTCGTATGAATCTTATAATCTACTTCCTCATCTTTTCATCACTCGTTCGCACGATTCCTGAAAAAACAATTTCTTGTTCATTAGGAAGTGATCATAATAATAGTACCCCGTGTGACGTTTAACCTAATTGGAATTTCCTTAATCAAAAAAAAAACATTCGCAACCTTATGAAGTTTGATTATTCAACCTATTTTTTTCAGTTGTCATAGAATTTAGATTCTCACAGCACATCTACTTATTTATGTTCACTTCTCGTATTCGTTCATCGTCATGTGATGTTATGCGAAGTTGTAGTTGAGGAATATTTCAAGAAAAACATTCCTCCTAATGTTACGCTCACCTGGATTTTCATGAATATTGAAATATTTTGCGTGTTATTCTAGCAGGTGATAAAAATTATTAATTGGATTATGCGTCATCTGATCTGAGATATAATTCGTATTTGCATCTTATACCATGCAATCATTGAGTTTTATTGACTGAACGAGTTGATTCAACTGGCGCTGCCAATATATTTTGTAATAAACTTGTTAAATTAACTGAATCCACCAAAATTTTTACTCACTTGAAAAATGCTTTCCCAAATTATTCTTAAACGATTGTGACTCACAATCTCGTGTGAGTCATAATATACCTGAGCTACACTGAATTGTTCCTCCGGCATTTTTTCGATCAAATTCTGACGTTTCGCGCGATTTCCTTTCATTTTCTTCTTTCATATACCATATTTTCCCAAATCCCTCCTATTTTCCTAGCTACTATCATATCTTCACACTTTTTTGATGGCCTTGCCAACGGCCACTTACATTTTTTTCGGTAACAATTTAGAATTTTGGTATCCCACTTGTAATTTTTAATACGATGGATATGATCTGCCCATCTCATTTCAATATTCACAGCGCTCTTATCACATCTCTTACACCCGTAAGCGTCGTGTTTCTTCATTTTTTATTCGATTGGCTTTATTCACCCATAAACTGGATCTGTTCCTAACATTTTCTTGGTGAGAAATCTGTTTACTCTTAATATATTGTATCCTGAATATTTCAGCTTTTTCCTTATTCATTCCACTATATGGCATTATTTTCATTAACTAAATATGGTTTTGTTAATTAAGAATCACCTTGAGAGGAGCAATTCGTGGCAGTTTTACGGAAAGCAACTTTGTCGGTGTGTTAGTGTCAGTCTTCGATGTCACGGTGTGTAGATTGATGAGTTGTTGTTATATGAGTAACGATTATTTGCTGATGTAGTGCTTGTTGAGGGGTGGAAGATTGCAAATATCATCTCAGAAAGTACAGAAATCTGAGCAGAATTTATGAAAATTCATTCGATTTCTGAACGTCTTATATGCTTACGATTACAATGCATTTTGGCGCACTTATATATTATGGTGATTTGCTTTTTTTGTTTTTGCTTCATATATTATAATAGTTCGAAAATCTCTAAGGTCACCTTAACGAATCGTTTTTTGTGATATAAATTTTAAGATTTAATTCATCCTCTATTTTTTCAACGTCTTCTGTGTCACGTGTTTCATTTTCATTTGTCGCTCGTCCTCGTTTGCTGCGTTGACATCGCTTCAAGATAGTTATGAATTACTAAAAAATATCCTTGTGCACGCTTTCGAAGACTAATTTTGCTCACTTATTCATTAGATTTGTTTTGTCTTAATTGACGTAATGAAGTGCTCGTTTGAATGATTCGTGAATGTAAGTCAATAATTTATTATGGGATGAATCAATGTTTAATGGCATTTCTTTTGATAGATCCGTAATCTGGAGAAGTCGATGAAATTAAAACGCGCAGTCAGTTCCATTTTCAGTTCAACAAAACTTCATAATTCAAAAATTTATGCGCCTTCCTTCCTTTTATCCTTTTATGCACCAACAATTCTTTTGACACTCAAATGGCCTTGAATTTCACTGATTGATTGTATCTATTATGATTCTCATTTTAAGTGAACTTGTTGAAAGTTGGCGATGCTCTTTCACTTAGCAAGATTCATATTGTAATAATTGAAATATGATCACTCGTTCAAAGTGATATTTTATTGCTGACAGTGCCAATATTCTGGTCACCTTTCGAATTTTATCGTCATTATTTTTATTATAACATAATTCTTCAGTGTTGTAATAATTAAAACACATCACTACTTGAATGGCTAATTAGCTATCGGAACACTGCTCTTGTAACACGTATTTACTTTACACTGAATCAACGTTTATCGCATCATGAGGTGATAATTCGCTCACCGCTCTCATGTATCTTTTTTGTTCAACCATTTGCCGTTCATTGATGTGCATATCTCAGTCATGTAAACTCTGAAAATTTTGCTTGTATCTTATCATTGGTACTAGCGTTTGCACAGCATATTTGGCGATGAAGTTGCAGCAAAACTTATACATACACAATTCGTAGCCTTTTCGCTTGAATTTTACTGTCGACAGTCACAACATTCCCTCGTTTTTGTTATCATTAATCACAATTTTTTCGATATTTCCCCTGATTCGTTACTTTTCCCGTTCGTTCATTTAAAATTTGTTCAATTTCAGATGATTCAATCAAATATATGCATTTAGATATTTACGAAACGAGTGCCAAACGTTGGAATTGTTGAGCGTTGAAATGTTTCCAGTTCATCAAAAATCATCCGGCCCATCAGCTACTGAATTACTCGAAGCCACTAGAAAAGAATACGTCAAAACTGAAGCGTTGAAAACGGCAAAAATCGGTATTGAAATCTATTTGTTCGGTTTAGCCTTAGAGCGAAATTTGTTTACGATAAAAGGCGAACTTTGTTCCAGACTATGATTGGTCTGTTGCAGATCCTGGACGACCTAGGATTTTTTCGAGGAATGGCAGTGATCAAGAGGATGAGGATGTCGAATGTAGTGTCGCTCCTTCGGTAGCGTATTAATTCCATTCGCAATTAATGAACTGATCCTCAGTTTTCAAATGGTCTTTTGCCGAAGTTTTTACTGACGAAACAATTCTTCCATTTCAGAGAACTTCTTTATCACGAAGTCGTATTCGAGTTGCACCATCAAGGTCACCGGATTTCCTATGCTTTTGCCTAACGTCAACGCCAGGAATTCGGCCCTCCAGCTACAAACCACTCGAAACACCTTATGGAGCCTTCCGTCGAGTCGAGAAACCCCATACGGTAACCTTAAGCCGTACCAAAAGTACTCCACCTCGAGCCCAACCACGTCCCCCACCTCCAAGGCCACCGAAACCACAATGGTTGAGGAATTCTCTTGCGAAAAGGTCCCATATATACATCGCTTCACATGCTCTTTTGATCATTTCTCATCTTCCATCTTGTTCCATGTCACTATATCACTATTGCTAAATGCTTTTCTCACGCTAGCAAAACAACGAGAGTTTCGATTGAAATTGTGAAGTGGATTCACTTTGAAAATAATATTTTGCAAGCAAAAGGTATGAATGTGCTTACTCCTATTTCAATGGTTTTTGCGTTACAACGATGTTGTACACAGAGAGTTTGTGTATGCGCCACCGGTTTTAAGTGAGTACGAACTGAGCGAAATATATCCCAACAGAGTGAGAATGGAGTGCGAATTGCTATTTTTCGATTAAATCAATTTTTTTGGTTGTCAATTGAGCAAATTGCCGTCGTCTTCAAGTTGAAAAATACGGAATCAATCGGACAGAGGTGATGATCCATTAAAGTTACATTGATGATGTGTGCAACGCAATTCGATCGAATTAAAAATCAAACCGGATTGTACGCATTTCATCTAATCCACTGTAATCAAAGTAAATACTTCCTCTCATTTGCAGAATTTCCAATGAACCGAATGATAGTAACAACAATAATAAAGCAACATCACAAGCACAAATTTCGTCTTCGTTATTCCATCAAAAACCAATTCCAGCACCTCGACTCTCCAAGCAAATCGTTAGATTACAATTTAATTTCATGATTTTGCTCTAAACATTCTGATAAAAGTTCAAGGATAGGTAACCAACAACATCTAAGGGTGGGCTGTTTCGCTATTTTCAGAATCATTTCGTTGTGATTGCAGCTTAAGTTTAACGTTTGTCGAGTTCTAAGCGATAATATGGCATTTCAGCGGCGTCAGACAATGCCAATTCCGATGCCGCTGGAGAGGCGAGAGAGTTGCGATGCGACAGCGAACATGAATAATGAGTTTGATATATTACGAGTGAGCACGTGCAGTACTGGTGGAAACATGACAACAGCAAAAACTATCGAGTTGGTTAATGTTCTCAGTTGTGGCGCATTATTTTCGGTATACACCTACCTCTAACTGGAGGGAGCCCCTCATATGAACTTCAGCTCATTTCTCAGTCGTTTTCTTGTTTGATTGTCACCGATCAATCATTATTATTATTACTGTGATAGCAGTTTTGTCTGCGTATGGTCGTACTGAACGAGATAGTGTTGTCATCAATAAGACAGCAGCATTTCTCATTTATACACTTGCTTGCGATACATAGCTGGTGAAATATTACAGCCAATAGAATGGTTTATGAGAAACTGACACAACGTTAGATTACATCGTGCTTCTGAGAAAGCTCTATTCCAATACGATTGGAGCCAGCGTTCTAATTATCAGAGTGATAGAATGTTCAAGATTATTCCTTGTATTACTTTTATTGCATATCATTAATATCTTCCTCGGTAATACACAATGAGGTAACAAGATCAGTGCAGTACGCAAGGCAGAGTTATCGGTAGTCAGCGAATGCGTATCATAGAATTAAACGCATTGATGATCGTTCAATAAGGAAATGAATGAAGTTGCATCTTTCTGAGCTTTAATGTTGATAGTTGTTTGATCAGTTATTTTATATTCTTTGTTCAGTCATCCTCTTTTCGTCAAGGACATACACCTGAACACCTAGGTGAATGTAATGTAATCGTGATCATATCAAGTTTTCGCATCTTATCAGGATTAAATATAATGATTGATGATCCGTAACCACAACAGTACGCGGAATGCAGATTGCAAATTTACATAACCTTTGTAGCCATCGTTCTCTTTCCCTCCATACGAAACTGTAATAACTGAAAGCGAAGAGCTGAATTTAGTATGGTGAAAGAAGTGAGGCGTTGTAAATATTGTGATGAAGTAAGCGTTTCAACTTTCAGATCTCTGACAACAACACCGTCAACTTCACGTGGAACAGTGTCATCGTACGGTGGAAGATATACACGTGAAAGACGATTTCATAATGCTAGTTGTCGCTCGTTTTTGTTTGCTTATTTGAACACTTCGACTGTGAAATAATGTTTATTTTAGTTCAATCATTGCGCCAGTAATTTCACGTCACCAGACTCTGATTCGGGATTACATCATAGCAGTGTGGAATCGCTCGATAATCCTTTGTTGGTTAACTTACTTATTGCTGTTACTTTTACTGTTATTTGCGTTCGTATGATTATTATTAGTGTTACTATTATTACAATTATTATTATGGTTATTGTTATTGTTGTTATTATTATTGCTATTATTATTATTATAATTACCATTGTTATTGCTATTATTAACGATTTTCTAAGGGACCCCATTTCAGCTATGCCACCGAACGACCAACCAGTCATATAGCACAAGTTGCAAACCAAAATGCACCGCTTTTCAGTCATCATAATGCCGATCTGAATCGACGATCTCCTGAAACAATTCCATCTGTAATCACTTCATCGGCGATTGCTGAAGAACGAAGTAACCGAGTAGTTTTTTTATCGAATAAGTGAATAAGTCAATGACTTTTTCGATGACACATATCAGAGGATGATGTTGAGTGCTTTCAATATAACAGAGTGGCATTTATATACCCATCGTAATCACGTACTAATTGAATACATAAGCAAATAAACTTCTAAACGAGCCATTCTTCGAGTAATTATTTCATCAGTAATTCCTTCCAGGTACAGCACAATCAGTGGAACTGTCCCAAATTGGTTCAGAAGCGTCCGTTTTTACCTCGATCACAGCAGCTTATCATGGCAGCTGCTCGATGGATGATCTTACAAAAGGGTCAGCATCTGATTGCGATAATGGTAGTGGTTTGATGGTTGGGCTTGGGAGCCATCGATCAGGGCCACTCGGTGCTGAGCCGTCACTGATCGAGAAGAACGCTCGTGTCATTAAATGGATTTATAGCTGTCGAACGGTTGTCGCTTAATCGCCGTATTGCAGTTGTTTATATTGTCACATTGAAGGTGTTCAGCTCGCAAATGCACTTAAAATTCATTCAGAAACTATACCATGAATTATCCCGTGGATTCTTTCGGATGCAAACAATTTCTTGGGTTCGAAGGAAATCAATTTTCTCTAGTCGTTAATGTCCATAGATAATCCGTCCTGAATTGTAGCTCATCCGACCGGGTTTCTAATCTTATCAATATGTGATCAGCTCTTCATAATCCGTGTTAGCAGAAAATTCGTTTTCATTTTTGTCACATTATCGTTCATTACACAGAACTTCATATTGTTCCTCGCTCGCTTCTTCTTTCTCTTACTAATATACTCTGAAATGGATGGACTACATCCTACTTATTCGATCATTTCATATTTGTTTTACCCGGGTGCAAGCATCAAGATTACTCACTCTTCATCATATCGTCTTCTTCACCGAACAGCCATAAATAGATTATTCGGAATGGAACATGATAACATTATAACAGTAAAATCCGTGAATATAAATTAACTTAATGAATTGCAGATATGATATATTTAGAGCTATTTCTGTATTTTTTGTGTTGATTTCACTTCGGATGTATTCTTTGTGTGGTTTTTTTTATAACGATAAGCTTTTATAATGCAGTTTTTAATTTCGTATATGTCGGAAGGAGTGTAGAGATATTTTGTTCATGCTATCTGCGAGGATTTTCCAAATGATCACTTTTTGGAGTTTATTTACGGATCACTTTCTTTTTTGAGGTATACCGTGTGAATAGCTCTGAAATTTTTATTGTGGGCAATATTCGCCTCATATCGATTCACTGATTCTTCTGCCGATATTCATTGTCGATTATGGTTGTAATTTGTTTTGCATTTCATCAGTGTGATGAGTGCATTTCACTGAATAAATTGTAACGAAATATTTTTGGACGGGTTTGACAACGTTTATATAGAACTATCATATGCCGATTAGCATTGACCGCTCGTAATTCTGCAACAAATATGAATTACTGAGGTGACGGACGTGGGGTACTTTCATGAACATTGATAAAAGCAGTAGATTGGCCTGATGTTCAGTTCGATGATTTTTTGCAGAATCTAGGTCTCTTGCCGGTACTCATGCTGTTTAGTCCCTCCATCCGCACGCAGGGGCAAGCACGCGTGCGCGGGCGCACGCGCGGACACGCCCACCGGAGTGTTGTGTAACGCGTAACATAACGGGTGTGGACCAAAGCGCGCATGACAACGTGCGGCGGTTTAGTTAACTGGTAATGCACGCTTGTCCGCGTGTGGGTGGAGGGACTAAACAGCATGAGTGCCCTCTTGCCTACGGGGAGAGTGTGTGAGTGTGGGTCTGAGATGCGTACTGCTGTATCGATGTGGATTATCTCGGCATTTATATATAGCACCGAAATGTTTGCATGTGATGAGCGATAGGCTGGAGAGGGGTGTGGAGAGTGCGATGAATAGTATGAAAGAGAAGGGAAAGGAAGCGCAATGTACATGACTGTTCACCGTTCACAAGGCGTTGAAAAGTAAAGCCGTTCGAATTTTCCCTCATAAGGTTTGAAAGGAAAACGACATGATTGTATGTATTTGCATTAGAGCCTGTCAAATTCTCCACTGTAGCTATGCAAAAGTACTAAGAGTAGATAACTTATGAGAGAGAAGATGAGTTATTAGCTGTATTTTCTATTTGTGCGCGTGAAATAATGCGCAGTTACCTATGCGGTTGCGCGCGTGTGGCGCCCCGATTCAGCAATTGAGCCGAAATGACAAACTGTAAGACGAGTACACGTACACGTTTCCTTTTTGAGAAAGAACACCACTTTCGAAACTGTCGTTTGAACAACTAAACGACAACAAGCGTCTTGCGGTACAAGTGGGGAACTGTGAGGGTGCGTACGCGCGCAGTGGTCGTGGCCATGAACCCAAACAGTTGGAGACGTAGACTTAGCACGAATGTGAAGTTAAGGCTCAGCTTTTATGTCTTAGGCCGAGTCGCAACCTAAGCATAGCCTCAGTCTCAGTATAAGCGNGAGACTGAGGCTTCGCTTAGGCTAGGGTTGAACATCGCCTGTGTAGACTTGAGCTTTTTGATAGGGCAGCCGCGAGGCAACGCCTATTGCGCATCACCATTATAGTGCTGCTATGCGTGCGCATCTGACCATTTCCCACTAAGGATGCACTAGTGCCCGTCTTGCTTCATTCAGTATGAACAATAAGTTAATGACAAAGTTTGGTTCATTAGATTTGTGGCCCTAAAGAGGGCCGTTGGGTTTAGAATTTGCGATGAGCAATAGATGTAAGCATGCTCAATGCTTATGCCTTCTCAGCGGTTTTCTTAGGCAGGAGAACAGCTTGGATATTTGGTAGAACACCACCCTGAGCGATCGTTACACCAGCTAACAGCTTGTTCAATTCCTCATCGTTGCGGACGGCCAACTGAAGATGTCTTGGGTTGATACGAGTCTTCTTGTTGTCTCGGGCTGCATTGCCTGCCAACTCGAGCACCTCAGCTGCCAAATACTCCAACACTGCAGCCAAGTAGACTGGTGCACCGGCTCCAACTCGTTCAGCGTAGTTGCCTTTTCGCAAAAGACGATGGATTCTTCCCACTGGGAATTGCAGTCCGGCCCTCGACGAACGAGTTTTTGCCTTTCCTGATGATTTTGCTTTACCTCCTTTACCACGGCCTGACATTTCGACGATATTTGTACGATATGTGCACACGAGAGAACGACACGCGCTATAGTTAACACGAGGCGATTGCCTGTTTATATAAAGTAGGAATGCCCGCCCATTCAAGCATTACTTGGGAGGAGCTTCCACATGGGCGTAGAGAAAATTTGTATAAAGCACATGGAGAACCGATGGACAACACCACTTTTTGTCTCTGTTTTGCGACTTAAAGATCAAGAACCCTCAAGTCGTCATGCCACCGAAGCCGTCAGCTAAAGGAGCGAAGAAGGCAGCAAANTCCCAGAAACCGCGTGGGGATAAGAAGAGGCGTAATAAGCGCAAGGAATCGTATTCGGTCTACATCTACCGTGTGCTGAAGCAAGTTCATCCCGATACCGGAATCTCATCTCGTGCGATGTCGATCATGAATTCGTTCGTGAACGACGTCTTTGAGCGTATCGCAGCCGAAGCAAGTCGTCTGGCTCACTACAACAAGCGATCAACGATTTCGTCTCGCGAAGTCCAGACCTCCGTTCGACTTATTCTCCCCGGTGAATTGGCAAAACATGCTGTCTCAGAGGGCACAAAAGCCGTCACCAAGTACACCAGCTCGAAGTAAAATGTCATCGCAAATTCATCAACTTCTGAACCCAACGGCCCTCTTTAGGGCCACAAACCAATGAACCAAACTTGTCATATGATTGTTTATTATAATGTATCATTCGTTTGTACTTATTTTTTTGGAAAGATAAAACTCGCTCGACACTCCTAATTAAGCAAAGTTTTGAAAAACGAAATTGGCGAATNCTTCATACAGTCACATATGTTTAGGGCGCATGCGTTTTGCAAAACGCAATATTTTTGGCAAGTTAATAGGGAAGTCATCGCAGCGTTGAATCTTCAGCAGTAGAATGAGGTTTGACTGACCTAGTGTTTGAATTGCTATGTACACCGGATCAAAAAGCGAGTTTAATGCTGACGTTTTTTTCCGGTTTAGACTCAAGCTGGAATCCGGCCTAAGATCAAACCTTATATACGCCTTTTGAGGAGAAAGTTTTCGAAGTTTTAGAACGACAGCGGAGTTTAGAACGGAAAGACACCCGATATTATGAGCTAGTAGTGAAGGTTGATGAAGGTGAAGATTGAAATTTTCCATATATGAACGTGTTATTTCGAATTAGCATGCCTTGAAGTTTATCCTTGTGATGAAGTTCGATGGTGTTCTGAGTGTGCGGCCCAAATTACACTTATATTCTCACGATCAGTTGATTGNTTGCGCGGAAATGATAACAATTATAGTTTTCTCTAAATTCGGGGCAGAATACCAATAGAAAGCATGTTGCATCTACAAAATACACACAACAGAACACTTCGTAAATTTAGTCGTAATCCTTCGCCATCTTTTAAATTTTGGCCTAGCTATATCATATTGCTGAATTCCATACTGCGTTTTCGCGGTATGGATATTACGTTTTCGCGCTTCAAATTATCGGTACTTCTTTAGCTGAGAGGCGCCACCGCGCGAAGGACACACGCGCTTCGATGCGTTCGCACCGGCGCGCGTGCAAAGGCGTGTGGCGCGCATCAGCCGAAACCCATGCGTAACCCCATCACCAGGTGCGCCTGGTGATGGGGTTCTTTAGCTGAGAGGCATAAGAGTGGCAGCGGACCTGTTATCCACGGGGACCAAAAAACACCCCCCGCTGTCTGTTTCAACCCTACCAAAAGTCCACTGCTATCGGACAAGCCGACCTACACCATACCTCCTCTTAGTAATGACAGTCTCATCGTATGCTTATTGTGGAAACCGTATGTATCGGCTGTGGCCCCTCAGCTAAAGGATAGGCTCTCTTCGTTTTGTATACTTATTGCGTAAACCATATACATTGGTTAGA